GTGACTTTCAAAATCACACATATTTAACCCGCCCTCAATCGGTTTCCGAATTACCATGTTTCTAGCTACCTTGTCTTTCTTACCGTTCCATAAAAAGGAAAAAATTAAAGAGTTTACAGTTTTTATAACCTCCTCACTAGTGGGAATGGAAGCAGCTAAAAAGGTTAAGCTAGATAACCCCAGTGTTTTCATGATGGTTGTTTTGCCGAAGAGAGTGAGGTTTCTACGATTCCAATTGTTTAAAGTTTTTTTTAATTTTTCAATTTTTTCTTTCCATATTTGATCGTAGCATGAATTCATGTTTTTGCTAAAATATATTCCTAGTGTTTTAACAGGATCAGTAGTCCACTTAAAAGCTTTATTGTTTATATTTCCAAAAGAAATGCCTATTGTTTTTTGATAATTTACCTTGGGACCGGCCATTTTACCAAAATCATTTAATAATTTAAGTACTCTATCTAATGACCTCTTGTTTGACACAAACAGTGTCGTATCATCAGCATATTGGGATATTTTAATATCCACTGTGTTATTATGTTCACATGGTATTTGAATACCGTTAATTAAAGAATCCTGCCTGATTTTATTCGCTAATACTTCTGAAATAATTATAAAAAGTAAAGCGGAGAGCGGACATCAGTTTCTTTGTGCAAATATTTCCAAAGGATCGAACAAATAATAGGCCTACATTCTAACAATAATAATAGTAGTAGTAGTAATTATAACAAAATTAATAATAATAATAATAATAATAATAATAATACAGTAGAAGTCATAGGCAGTCATAGCATTCATTTGTTATGTAGCCACTGTGTTGATGACTGCATGATGTTTGGTAATGACTGCATGATGATTGGTAAGTACTGCATAGTGATTGGTAATGACTGCATGATGATTGGTAATGACTGCATGATGATTGGTAAGTACTGCATAGTGATTGGTAATGACTGCATGATGATTGGTAATGACTGCATGATGATTGGTAATGACTGCATGACGATTGGTAAGTACTGCATGGTGATTGGTAATGACTGCATGGTGATTGGTAATGACTGCATGGTGATTGGTAATGACTGCATGATGATTGGTAATGACTGCATGGTGATTGGTAAAATGACTGCATGATGATTGTGAACTGAAGGCAGAGGAGGCGTTCCATACGCGCCGAGGCTTCGCCTGCGAAATCACAAAAGTTGATCCAAGACCATAGAGATATATAAGGATACTAGAGCGCTAACTGCAATTTGTTCGATCTTCGAAATACGCAAAGCTATGTGTGTGTACCATCCAAGATGGCTGCCATACATTCAGCCAATCAAATTTCGCCTAAGCACTATCATTTTCAATGGCGCCCTCAATTTACACAGAAAGTTCAGTACAGCTAGTTACCCGTATGTTTGAAACTCGAGCGTTGCGGTGTATGGGTGTAATATACATGATTAAAATTTTTTTTTTTAATTTTTGAATAAGATGCTCTACTTGCCTCTTTTTTGCTACGATAGTTCAATAATTTATTATAATCAAAACTAATTATCATTATAAATCAATCGTGACGTCATCACTTTAACTCCCAATGTTATTTGCCTATTCCCCAGCGTCCACTAATTTTTCTATTAGTGGACGCTTGGCTTGATTTTTTCGTGTGCAAAAAAAAAAAATCCTTATTGTCTCGTCACCGAGAACACATCGCGTACCGCGATAAAAATTGAATTGTAATTGAAAATTACTTTCGTAAAACAAGCTTAATTAGAACCCGAAGAAAGTTACTTCAAATTCAATAATTATTAAATATGAACAATTAGGGAATTCATTGAATCAATGGACCCTCATAAACACAACGAACTGAACGTTTAATAGGAATATTCTAGACCTATTTTAAAGACTCAAGGAACAAATTTAGATATAGGACTACAGCCAGGCAGGAGGCCGCCAGGCTTCCTCTTACTACTTTTAGGCCGTAGCCTAGCCTAGGCCTAGTTATGAAATAATCGCACGATTTTACCTGTCTGCATGCACCGACTAAAGAGGACGTCAGTGACTGAATTCTCTCTCGAAAGCTGAAATGTTTATTTCTTTGACGAAAGTCAATAAAAATAGCATTACAAACAAGTTTTTTCTAACAAAATACAGATTACAACAATAGTTATTCATCGTATCCGTACTGTACTCTCTGATGTGTAGTTAAACGCCTACTGCAGGAGCAAAAATCAGCATTGCTTATTAATGAAATAATAGTCAGTCAGAGGGCTTATTTATGGTAATATTATGTATACTAAGCCTGAAGGTGACGCTTTCCTACGGCGGCCATATTGGATGGTACACATACACAACTCTGCATTGCTTCGCCATCTTGTCATGCAGATGTGTGTATTATTGTAGTATCTGGATTTTTCATGAAAATTTTCTTTCATAACAATATTCTGTATAGGCCTACTACTATATTACACAAAAAACGCTTTAAAAATGAGTAACTCGTGCTGCGTCTCTATAACGCGTGTTCGAGTTTCGAATGCAATATGGTTCGAGTTCCGAACGCTATTCTATTTTCATAGAGCGCCCGCTACCTCGTGGTAGTAGTACCCATCATGCCTAAACCGGAATTGCACTTTTCCGCCATCTTCAATTGCTACATCATGACCATGATCATGACATCGTGTCTACGCCCCCGTTGGGGGCAGTAGACACAAAAATTAAAGATATGGCTCGCACATTATTTGTCTCTAGTCATTTAAGTTGGTAAAACGACAATGTCGATAACAATATAGGCCCTTTTTTATTTGATTTTGAAAATCACTTTTTTCTCTTTGCAGAATTCTAGGAAAAATACTAGGATATCTTGTTGTTTAATTATCATTTGCTCCTACACAAATTAAATAATATGAACATTATAGATGTAATCGAAAATAATATAAAAGTAGTCCTAATCTTAATTACATTTTGATATTTAGAGGTCTATATGAATAGGCTTATCTGATAGATATAATTAATTTTTGCTGATCGTCATACATCATTTATTTAGCCAAAATAAAAGGAGCCACTTGAGGGTCTATATGGCTGGATTGTCTAATTGAAGAATACAATCGAGTACAATCCTTGTCTACCGACAAGGATTAAAACTGTTTAAAAATGTCCAACTCAAGAGCTCAATTACCAAGCGCATAGAGGCTTTTCGCATAATGCGCTATAAAAAATCCAATTATTATTATTATTATTATTATTATTATTATTATTATTATTATTATTATTAGAGTAGGCCCTATATATAATATGAAATTGGATATGAAGTAGTGCAATCATAAAAAAATATGGAAAAATATTGGCATAAATTTTAGTTCCACACAAAAGAATTAAGAAAAAAAGAAAAGAAATATACAGACTATTTCTCATAGAATATTACCATTTTCTCGACGAATTCTTCGTTACTAGGCAAATTCGGAATCCGCATCCGCTGGAATACTCTCGCTTTTATGTATACTTTATACATTCAATAAGGTGCGCCCTCTCTAATGGGATTAGTTTTTGTACTTCGCATCTCACACAATGCAGTCGTTCGAGTAGGCCTGAGATATTTTGTTTAAGTGTCAAAATCTCGGTCAGAATCAGTTTTTTAACAAATTTGAAATAATTCCTATGAAATATTATATTTCACAAGTGTCAATACTAGCAACGGAAAAGATCATGTCGGCCGTTTTTATGTGTGATAACAGAACTTAAATCGAGGTTAAGGCTAGGCCTAGCCTAGCAGATTTGAATAGGCTAATGTTTCCGGCGCCTATTATGTTTCTTCGCACGACCTATCGCAAAATCACACATGAAAAATTCATCCGCATTTATTTTTTGTGTGGAACACAAAAAAATCAAATTTCAGTCTTATTTTACATTTTTTTTTCATGCTAAGGAATGTCAAAATTTAGTTAAACTAGCAATTCCGTATATATTTATAAATCTTTATAACATTATACAAAAATTAGATTTTTCTTAACAACTGAAATTTTGCTGAGAATGGGGCTTTAAATTAAATTTAACTACAGGAGGCTGCTAATTGTAATACGATATTATATTGATATTATACACAGGAACGCGCATCGCGTTGGACACGGAATTGCTTCTAAATTCTCAGTGTAGCAACTCCATAGAGATATAATAAGAATACTAGAGTGCTAACTGTAATGTATTCGATATTCGAAATACGCAGAACTGTGTGTGTGTGTACCATCCAAGATGCTGCTGTAGATTCAGCCAATCAGAATTCTCTTAAAGATGTATTGTCCCTTGCTAATGTCAATGGGAAGCGAAAACAAACATCAATACGGGGTTGCAATCGCGATCTCAAAGGAATTAAAATCTAGTCTGTTAGATTGGAAACCAGTAAATGACAGGATCTTAATGGCAAGAATCAGCACACAATTTATGAAGCTGACAGTCATCCAGATTTATGCACCCACTGAAGACGCGGATACAGAGATCAAAGATGATTTCTATGACCAACTACAGAGATTCATCAACGAGGTACCAAAACATAATATGAAAATAATAATGGGTGACGCCAATGCCAAAATTGGAGGTGACAACAACGGGCATGAAGCTGTTATAGGAAAAGAAGGTTTAGGAGAGATTAATTCATGTGGTAGAAGATTCGTGGAATGTTGCTCAGTTAATAATTTTGTTGTTGGCGGAACTATGTTCAAACATAAAAATATCCACAAGTACACCTGGAGACATCCAAATGGACATACATTTAACCAGATTGATCATATAGCAATTTCCAGAAAACATAGAACATCATTACTAGATGTCAGATCAAGGAGAGGTGCTGATGCGCACAGCGACCATAACTTAGTTGTCGGAAGAGTCAGAATCAAGTTGAAAGGTAAAGAAGGTCAGGACGGTTTTGTGTACGAATCCAACAAGGATCCCGGTATAAGACAAGAGTACGAGAAATAAGTAGTGAAAGCTATTGAGAAGCAATCTGAGCAGGAGATCACAGATATTGAGACTAAGTGGAGGTATTTACAACTGGCTTATAACCAGGCAGGAAAGCAGGTTCTTGGAGTAAGGAAAGGTTCTAGTAAGGCATGGATATCAGATCGGAGTCTTGGAAAGTCATTGAAGAAAGAAAAGAACTTAAAAATTGAAGAAGCAAAATCAGAAAGAATAAAGAAGATTAAGCAAAAAACATACAAACAAAAGAGTAAGATCAGACAAAAGATACATGGTAGAAAGTGTTGCAAGTGAAGCAGAAAAAGCAGATGCTAATGGCGACATGGACCGAGTCTATAAGACCACAAAAGGCCTGAGTTACAGGAGCAAAAGTAGAAGTGCAGGAATCAAGAATTCAAAGGGACAGTTATTAACATCAGACGAACAGATCAGGGAACGATGGAAAGAGCACTTCCAACAAACTCTGAACCAGCATGCTAATATCAATCATAGCTCAGAGCTTCCTGAAATTCCAACTGCAGCTTTTAGGAATGTTAATATTAATACTGGAGAAATCACCATCCAGGAAGTAAGAGATGCCATAGGAAAGATGAAAAATGGAAAAACAGCAGGTGTTGATGGTATCAGTTCTGAGATGTGGAAATCTTGCAAACATGTTTCTGAACTCGCATTAGTAAATTTATTTAATTATGTTCTTAACACAGAGAAAGTACCCAATGACTGGAAGAAAAGCCTACTTGTAGCGCTACCCAAAAAAGGTGATTTGACTGTATGCGGTAACTATCGAGGTATTTCTCTAATGGTAACTACAAGTAAGATCTTTGGGCGAGTCATTATTGATAGAATAAGAGTTGAAATCGACGATGTCCTGAGAGGAGAACAAGCTGGTTACAGACGTGGTCGTCGAACAACCGAGCAGATTTTTATCCTCAGGAACATCATTGAACAGAACCTCGAATGGAATGCTTCATTATATATCAATTTTATTGATTATAGGAAAGCATTTGATAGCATCACAAGGGAAGCGTTGTGGAAAATACTCGAAAAGTACACTATTCCAAAGAAGCTCATCAACATCATCAGCAACTGGTACGACGGTAGCCAAAGCTCTGTGATTTGCAATGGAGAACTGCGTAATTGGTTCAGCGTTCTCACTGGCGTACGTCCAGGGTGTGTTTTGTCCGGGTTCCTGTTCCTTATTGTGATGGACTGGATCACGAGAGCCACTGTTAAATACAACAAGAGACGTGGCTTAAGATGGAACTTCAACACTACCTTAGAAGATCTCAAATATGCTGACGATGGTGCCTTTATGGCCAGCAGTAAACAACACCTACAGGACAAGACAGATGAGTTGAATACTAATGGTCAGTATGCTGGGTTACGTGTTAATGTTTGTACAGAAGACCAAAGTTTCAAGAATCGACAATAAGTGTATAGAACCAATCCTCATTGATGGAGAAGAAGTTGAAGATATTGAATCTTTCACTTATCTTGGATCTGTTCTGTCAAAAAAAGGTGGAACTGATGAGGATATTAGACGCAGAATTGCTTTAGTACAAAATGCTTTCAGACAGCTAAGTAAGATATGGAAGTCAGGAACTTTCAGCAGAAAAAGCAAGCTCAGACTCCTGAACTCAAATTTTATTTCTGTTCTTTTGTATGGCTCCGAAACCTGGAAATTGAATGAAATCGACAAGAATAAACTTGATGTTTTTCACAGAAACTGCCTAAGAAAGATAATGAGAACTCATTGGCCAATGAAAATAACAAATGAACATCTACACAATAACACACACACTGTTCCAATTAGAATAGAGATTTTAAAAAGACGATGGAGATGGATAGGGCACGTATTAAGGAAAGGGCATAAAGACAACTCATATATTGCATTGGAATAGGCACCTGAGGGAAAAAGGAGTCGAGGTAGACCAAAAACAACGTGGAGGCGCACCGTTGAAGCAGAAAGAAAAGAACTTGGTTTCAGTAGCTGGAAGAATGCAGAAGTTGTGGCGAAAGACAAAAAAAGTGGAAGAAGATGATTCTTGAAGCCTCAATGTCCAATGAGAGGACAAGAGAGTGTTAAGAGTTAAGAGTTAATGTCAAAAAATAATAAAAATTTATTTTGAAATTAACTTGCTCATTCTGCAATAACATACAAATTATTAACTTGTGCATAGAAATTATTGAATTTAAAAAATGTGTACCCTGATTTTTAAACCAGAAAAACATAATAAAAGTAATAAAACACTTCCAGTGACTGGAAGTGTTTCTATCACTTTTCGTTGTAAACTGATGGATATAATTTTTTTAAATATACTAATTTCTATGTTAAAGTTGATAACTTTTATGTTGCTTTAAAATGGGCAAGTTATTTTAAAAAAAATATTTTTATGATTGTTTTGGTATTTAGCATGGGACAATACATCATCAGCGTTTCAATGAGGCCCTCAATTTACACATGTAATTGAGTACAACAAGTTACCCGTATGTTGATACTCGGGCGTTGCGGTGTATGGTTGTAACGTAGATGATTTCAATTTTCATACCTCAGTACTTTATATTTAAACCATATACTTCATTGGACTTTTTTTGGTTACGATAGTTTTATAATTTATAATTATTATGATAATGATTAATCCAAATTAATAGTTAGTCAGAGGGCTTATTTATGGTTATAATAATGTGTATTAAGCCTGAAGGTGGCGCTTTCCTACGTCAGCCATATTGGATGATACACATTGTTTAGTCTCCTTGTCTCCTTGAACTCCAGTTGTTTAATAGGTTTATTAACAACTCTTTCTATCAATGGTTCTGCTATTTTGCTGAAGCTATAGCGCCACCAATTGTTTCTGTCTCAAACGTTCAGGGAAAAAAAATCGCTGCCCGGCAAAAAGTCATCGTTTTTTCCCCCCATATTAGTAATATTTTCAATATTATATTACTGTACTAGGCGTGAATGAAGTTTTCTTTCGTTATGGTAGACTCGCTGTCGAAGTAACTTTGTATTAGCAGTCACAATCTGTTGATAAGAACTACAGGGGCCGGATTTATCAAGCTAGAAATCAGCTTAATCTTAAGTCCATTTTTTGCATAAGTCAAATTTATCATATTGCCTTAACTTAAGAATTGCTTAAAATTAAAAAGTTGATTGTACGCATGAACCATCTAAGACGTTTTTAAGCTAAGATTTTGCTAAGATGGTTTGATAAATCAGCTTCAGATATCTGCTTACGGACTTCTAAACTTTTTTGACTTAAGACATTTGCTAAGCTGAGATTGATAAATCCCGGGTCAGGTCTGTCTCCCTCCAAAAAAAAAAAAAACACCTCCAATTAAATACCACCTTTCTGCAGCCCCCCAAAATTGTTTATCTTTCATCTTTACAATGTTATAATCTTTCTTAGTAAAAACCAAAGCTGGTAAAGACCAAGCGCCGCGGCGCTTGGTCTTTACCAAGACCAATAAGACCAATAATAAAGACCAATTTGTTTTTTCATTGCATTCTAAATGTATTTAACGACAAAATAAATGGTATATGATTGGCGAATCCAGGAATGTTAAATAGGGATAAGGGAGAGACTTTCACTGATAAAAAATCAACATCACCTCAGCTGAGGTAAGAAAATTTATAATTACAGCACCTCTAAATGCCCGGAAATAGCAGTCTCGGACTTAAAATTTAAAAATTTAGAGGCCCCTCCTCAATTCGCCACGGGATGCAATTATGATATACAGTCCACGTCAGAGATACATTATGCTGTAACAAAGCCCTTTTCGGTCAGGGTGCTAGATCGAGGACCATGTCGTTAGGGGCCCTAGTGGCCGGGGGCCCTGCGGACCGCCGCACGAGAGTGCATAGGAGGCGTACTTTACGCCACTGCATAGGCTACTATCAAAACATGTTTTCCAGAATGATGTGTGACATGCCGTAGACGCTCAAGCACAGAATATTGATTGAATTGAAAAATTTAGGCATACAGTGGATTGTATGATGGTAATATTGGCTAAATGAAATGAAATGAAATGGATGAATGAATGAATGACAAACGGAGGAATGAACTTTCCAAAGGAACAAAATGAAACTTGAGCGCAGTTACAAATATGGCCAAAAAAACCCAAATTGTTTGTTTGCCCTCCTCCACCCGCCCCTAACTCACTGAAAAACATTAGGGGCGGAAAAACAAAAAAAAATAAAAACTTAAAAAAGTTTTTTTTTTAGCTTTTTTCTTTACAAATAAAAAAAATGTGAGTGAATTTATATTTTTCGCTAGATGCCCTACAAATTAGTTTAAAGTTGTTGTTTGATGTAAGATATTGCCATTCTAGGCCTATGTGGATATTTTTATTCCATCTGATGAGTATTTAAAAAAAAAACAAAAAAAAAAACCCTTTCTCCACCCGCCCTTAGTTATCATTTTTTTAAAGAAGGGCAAACAAACGATTTATTTTATTTGGTCTAATGTTTGTAATTTAAACTAGCTATTACTCTTCGCATTGTTTGAAATCTTATGTTTCAGTCCGTACGAATCAAATAAGTAAGTAATGCGGAAATCTTTGCTTGTTTACTTTATTGACATCTAATAATATTAGAAACCATGTAATTTATATTAAAGTACATATTAATTACATTGATTATAAATGTATTCAATGGTTTCTGGTTGATAGATAGAAGAATTATTGAATTATTTTTGCATGTATTCAAATAGTTTTTCATCATAAAAGAGCCTTAGGATCTGATGAAAGGGGCTTAGAAATGACGTTTATTAAATGTATTAAAGCTTATATAATTATTAATTATGCTCAAAATTTAACTTCAAAACAATAATAATAATAATAATAATAATAATAATAATAATAATAAAATTTATAAAGCGCACAAATCCACTGCAGTAGTGCTTAAGGCGCTACAGGAAGGAACCAAATATTACCATGAACCTAAAGCTACAAGAAAAGAAACAAGACAGTTAAGAACCATTTCTGTAATACACAATATAAATACGAAAGTATATTAATAATTTACTTTAAAATTTGTATTAAAGTACATTATTAATTTACTATCATATTTATATTGTGTATTAAAGTAAATTAATAATTAAAAATAATACTATTAGGTACATGTGACAGAACGTTAGTAGAACGGATATTGCGTTTTCCTGTGTCGGAAGGTGAGACGCTTTTCTCAAAGTGGAAACATACTGTAATTATCACTGAGATCAGAAAATGTATGTAGCTGTCGCGGGGAACAACCTCTTTATCCATTAAAGTAACTGAATCATGTGTCACATTGCACAACCTCAATCTATTAATATTGCTTCTCGCAATTAGAAATACATCAGAATCAAACCATAATATAAAGTAACTAGGCCTATTTAAAATCCAAACCTACAGAAAACTAGATGTATCAAGGGATATACAGAAGAACTAAACAGTGAACTGTCAATTAACACTGAACCTTGTCTTTATATCATTATTAATATAGTAATAATAATGATTATATTCAGTACGATGCAGTTTTGCCAGTAATTGGAATTTCCAAAAAATAACACAATCACAGCATTTCAAACATAATATGTTTAAACTAATCTAACATAACATAAAGATGTTTCAAATGCATTCACAATGAATACCGTACTATCAGAAGAATACAGACAATAATACTGTTAAAACTGGAGCTTATACTGTAAGTGAATAGATTTGCGGGATTCGATAGTGTATTTATTGCTTTATATACTTCATATTCTTAATTCTAAATTTATTGATATACAATTTCATCATGCTAATAATTAATATGTACGATTTTCTTTTTTTTCAAATTTCATATTGCATCCGTATAATATCAAAACAGATTTTATTATGAATTTAAATAATGACTGATCAAACTCGGCCGGCTACACTTAAGACTACATACATTCAATTTTTACAAGAAAATATTGCATAGGAGTGAAATTCCTTTAGCTAAATATATGAATAACGTGCTAGGATATTGGAAACGTGTTAATTCCTGGTACAGAAATTAAGTTAGTCTCTCAAATGTACCTTTCTGGAAAACGAATCAAATTTAACAACTGAACAATCAGAACAGGGCAAGAATCACGTGCTTGTCTCACAATCATGCCGTGCTGTTCCATCCCTCAAACGCACGTGCTTACGTACGTTACGATGTCGTTTTGTGGGAAATTAGCAACAATATACAAGAGGCGGGGATATGCATTTGTTTGTGATTTATGTAATATCAGAGAAGATAAAAAAAATGTTCATGTTTGAACAAGACTGTATGGCTATAGTAAAATTTCCCTATAAATACTTTTTACTATACAGAGAAATGGCATAGGCCTATAATACGTGAATAGGCCTACTTTAGCGTACAGAGGTGTAGAAATGTCAACCCTCAAATAGAAAGAGCAAAAAAAAAAAAAAAAAAAAAAAAAAAAAAAAAAAAAAAAAAAAAAAACCCGGATGGAAATTTAGCCTACAGTTGGCACCATCACAGCAGCGCTGTCTAGTCCGATGACGCCATTATTTCGTCCCTCCTGTGACCACAACCGAATTCCTCAGTCTACAAAACATATCATGTGAAACATTGGTGCAAGTTCAAGCCCATGCCAACCCGGTCCTTCATCTCAATAGTGTGCAGCTATGATTGTTAGGGTTGCATCCTGATGAATTCCAACATCTAGGCCTACATTTTTACCAGTTCACGACGTAGTTGTTCTCATTCGAGCTTGAGAAATATGTTTTACACTCAAACGACATTTACGATCTCCTGAAAGTAGCGATGAATATACATACGTCTACGCATTAAACCGATGTTATATGTTCAGAAAAGCTTTCACACGAAGACAACACATGATTTTTGCTCACATTATCACCTGAAATTTAACAAAAGAAATAAGCATTCAGAAAAAACTACGTCGTATACGATGTTTTGGTGAGGTAAAGGAGAAAAAATTGCAATGGTACGGTAACGAAATAGAGAATTACCATAATGAAAATTGAGACGATAAAGTGTAGGTCTACATACACTTACACACACACACACACACCCGATTACAGAGCCAAACCAAGGCAATATATGTTTTTATATATATATATATATATATATAAAGTTGTGGGTTTAATAAAAAAAAATGCCGTATATTTATATATAACATCATTAGAGGCGCAGGATAAGCATAGGGGAACTATAGTAAAATGGCATGAAAGGGCCGAGGGTTGCAAACGGTGTCGACATACTATACGATGATAGCCCACCATTGAATCAAATTTGGCACCATTTGCTTAATGATATAAAGGCAACATAAAAATCCATACATTACCAAATACATAGACTCATAGATCTACTTATGTACGTTAAATGTATAGATCTGAATGTGCAGTAACAAATAATAATAGGCCAACACATTTCATTAGGCCTAACAAGTGTAATATTCTTGTTCTCCTTGCGCATTTACTTATATGTAGTCCTAGCCCAAGCACATGAATGAATTGTATTACAATGATACACTAGTATAATATTGCGTAGCTTGATTGATTTGACTACACATAAAAATTACAGTGCATAAAATTAATGAAATAAAATGGTGGTCAGATGGAAATACATACAAACAATATAACAGTGCAGTGAGATAAGGCTTATTTTTTTTATAGGTTTTTAGCATACATTTTCACATCTATAATTAGGCCTTTTTACTTATGAGTGCTAAATACTGGACCACAAGCCGAGCCGGCGCCCTACGATTAAACCGAGGAAACAAGCAATTCCTATCGTTCACATGTGTATGGATAGCCAGTTACTGTGGCACGACGGGAAGGTGAGCTGCAGTAGCCGTAGCATTGAGGGGCAATGTGTGACTTTAGCTACTGGAGTGTAAATAATTGACTCAGGGGAACATGTCTGTTTTGTTTTTGTTTTGTTTTGTTTTGTTTTGTTCTTTTTGCGGTCCATCACCCACATTCTCCTAATACGAAAATAGCAAGCTTTGATCATACGTTTTTTAAATATATTTTGTAACGGCGCATTTTAATCTTCAATAATCATTAACTTCTGACGCAAAACATCATCAAAATTATTATTTTTACGAAAAAAAAACAAAAAAAAAACACCTAAGTCATATTAGAAATATTCGGCATTGACAAGCTCGGTCGAAAGAAAACTGATTAATTTCCCTGTCCATTGCTTGTGTGCGGGGATTACCAATCCCTTTAAATAGATTGAAGCATTTTATATTAGATTAGTATTCATTTAACCAAGTTTTGTTTTTCTTTCCAGTATTTACCAAATTTAATAAAATCTTTCTTTTGCAAAGTTTACGGGCCTAGTGATATTATGATAAACATTATTATTTCTAATAATATTTAAACAATTAGGCCTACTATTATTAATATTATCATCAGGACTCACATGCAGCGTATTTTGTTAAAACATGGAAGAATAAATTTGGTTAAAACTAGTGTGCTGAACCCTGTGGCCCTGTTGTGTTCAATAATATAGCGTTTAAAAATTGCTCATCTGCACAAAGGAGGCAGTAAAATTTGGGTGGGGTGTGATGGACTGAACGCTCGATTAACATGAGGCCCAGATGTATAGATTGGCAGCATTAAACAGCTTACTAATTTGCATTATCCTAATGCAATGTATTGATGGAATTGTCGCTTCAATAAGCCTTAGGCTCTCCGTTATTAGACTTATCACAAAGCCAGATATTACATTTATTGTATGATAGACAACATTCAACCGTAAGTTTCAATCTCAGAAACAGAGTTGTTTTACCCGAGTCGTGAGTAATTCATTTGGTTTTAAAGTACGGATCACTAATGATGTTTTGCCTTTTCTTCTTTTCCAAGGTATGTAGTGTATTGGTCATTAGAAAAACTATCGATTATTTGGAGATGTTTCGAAACGAAATATCACAAGAATATTATGCCAACCACGTTGCGAAATAACGCGATGGAAATGACGACCCCCACCACTTGCGTCAGGCATACTCACACGATAACGATGGCAGTTTGAACTTAGCTCTGTGTAAGGCTAATAATACAAGATAATATTTAAGTTACTGTATTTTACTTATTGCCCCATATGCTCTACCAGTTTCACAGTGTCCGACATCACCCATCCCGCGTCCCACTCGAAATGAACTTGGCCTCCCCTCTACACGTAACGTTCATAGTGAATTCAGGGCTAACAATTTCTGAAATAATAACCGAAATCCCCTGATTTGGTCTCAAGAAGTAGAAATTATAATAGTTGCCGGAGGAGATAGAGGTATTTTTTTTTTTTGGGCCAGGGCCAAATTTATTATGCTTTCAGCTAATAGGGAGAGGGCTGAATCCACTGGAATCCAAACTGTTCTGTGACACCGCAATGCAGAGGCTAGATCATTAAAATGAATTACACTAATTATAACACAGGGGTTTAACCATGACCTAGATAGTATTCATGTCGCGTTTCATAACCCATAATCCCTTATTATCAGCTAGCTAAATCATAGTTGTATATAATCGTTCTCTTACATTGGCACGATTACCGATCTCACAACACTTTATAAGTTCGATTAATGGATTTTACGTCTGCGTAATATATTCATTGTTGACTCGTGGCAATATTTATCATGAAGTATATTGTAGATCCATGCATTTATTAGTCCAAGATTAAAGGGCATTAAAATCGATCGTCCAGATGAAATGTCACCAAGGGCTCAACAGACCTTTATGTCGCGATCATTATATCGCGATTAGTGTTTCACCATTAAAACTGTGAAATGTTTGTCTCAACAGAATCAACTTCTGCCAATGTTCTTTAAGATAACCGTTATGATAGTAATAATAACAATGGTGGCACTCCGTTTAGTGGTGATGCTAAATCTTATTACGATGGGAATAACATCTATGCATTCTATCATGGATTATTTGATACCTAAATAATCTTACAAATGATTGTAGCCAATGCCGCAGCCTTAGCCAAGATTTTCAAACAGTGCGGGACAATATCAGGGTGGACCCACTTTATGCGCAATTTAACTAATGTGAACCCATTTTCTTAAAAGTTGACCCATTTTAGGCTAAATATGAAAAGAATGAACCTATTTTTCTAAAAAGTGGACTCATTTTAGGCATAAGATTTCATAGCTTGGACTCATTTTTTAGAATGTGGAACCATTCTTCATGGACCTATTGGACAAATTGTGTAGGACTGTCCCAACTGTCCCAGCTGGCTACGGCATTGTCTATAGCTGCAAAGGCTGACCTACTGTTTTTTTTTAAACGTTTTACACATTTAGTCATATCGTACTAGATTTGGGATAGCAAAACACATCAATATGCATGATTTTTACTCAGTTGCGCATGCTTGCTTAGATTGCTATTGTACTATGTTTGTCTGTTCACGTGTATATGTCGGTACACGTGAATTCATTTTCATTGACTTGACTGATTTATATTTATTCAATACGTTATGTTACCAGATGTCTGCTAAAACAAATTTAATCAAGAATGAAAGTTATTGACCTTACCATTCCATTTTTTTATATAATTACAGAATTTCCTATTCTAGGATTCTCCGTGGCAAATCATCAAATGGCGCCCTCGTGACCAATTTTCCCCATTATGGATTAAGGCGCTGTTCGTACGTTGGCTAAAGAACGTAGTATTGTCTTAATCATTATTATTTTTTTTCTCTAGAGAATACATTTCAATACAGTATGTCTAAGCACTATATCAATAAGTCAATAACCGTACTATTGCCTAATAATACTATAAAAAATTATTATAGTTTTTGTTTATCATCATTACCATTACCGTATCATTACATATGATATTAACAAAATGAATACGGCTTTGAGGTGTCACTCAAAAACCGTTAAAAAAGTTATGCACACTGGCTTATCAGATCGTGTGAATACTAAGAGCATTAGAACCGTGTTAAGATTTGGTAGCTAAATCAAAAGAAAAGAAAAACGTGTATTAGTGAATTACACAATGCCAAATAAACATTGTGTTATACGTACGCCACACGTCAAGGGTGAAGCAGTACGTGCGTGTGTGTATTACAATTGCGCGTTGTCGACAAATAATTGTTCCTGCAACACATGGTGTCATCGCAGTGCCATTGAGTTACTAACTGTAGCTGCCTCTAGGATGATAATGATGTATGGAGAAGTATATAGGGCGAAGATGCTTGAAATTTACAAACAATATATTAAGAATGACAGCAGTGAGAGAGAATGTTAACTCACATTGTATGTCGGTCTTTAAATATACATTATACATTAAAAAAAATAAAAAATAAAAAAAATAAAAAAAATGTGCAGTTTACAAATACTTTACAGGCATATACAATGGGGCTTAGATATAAAGAGGGCCACCGGATAATAATTATTTAAATAAACGTAAATTCACTTAAATGTGTTTTGACATTCTGTCTATTGCTCCTTTTGTTTCTGTTTATGTGGGCGTAAGAAGGGGCGCTGGTGTAATCAAGTCTACTCTTCTACCCGGTGGCCCTAATATACATGCATCGCACTTTTTACGCACGTGAGGCAGTTACCATATCATGCAATGGAAACATGCTGTGAAATGGGAACAGCTATGCAGTGCGATGTGCGCCACCATCATTTGCAGTCTCTACACCTCTGCCAGATGCGATGCTTTGTCGAATGTTGACCGCTGAGGCGGCGCTATGATCACTGTCGCGCCTGATGTCGTCATCGTCAATGTCCACTGCTGGCTCCCAATTGTGTCTCAGTAGTCCTGTGTCTTCATTTATATCCTGATCCTCATGGTCTTCTAGTGTTGAGTCGGCTCGGGGTGATTTATTTGATATTGGTTTCTCGCCCTGGCTGATAGCATATAATTTCTGGGAGACGTCTCTACCGATACTTGTCTGAAGAACCACTTTCATGAAGGGTTCCCGCTTCAGGAATGATTCTAACTTTCGTCTTGACCACTGAACGTAGCGACAATCTTCTTCAGCAGTGATAGTCACCTGTAAAAATAAATTAAATAAAGCTGTAAAACCGTAACAGCGATTGGTATTTATTCATGTTGGTTTCGTACAGAAATTTCAACCTTTCATGAAATCGCCCTTAACCCTTCCCGGGGCGAAATTTACTTATAAAATCAACATGAAGTCTCTATTACGACCAAGTGGTTTAAACTAATTAAGATTATGAGATTTAAGAAACTCAACGCATTTTATTTATTGAATTGGCCGTATTAAAGTTTAATTTAGATGAAATTGATCAGATTATTTTTATTATTATTAATATTATTATTAATAATATTCTTTGTAAATTTTTAACCGAGTTGGTTTGCTATATACAATATATATGTATATATATATGTATTGTATATAGCAAACGATGTATATATATACATATATATATATATATATATATATATAAATCATCAAAGAAAGGTAAATACAGTGTTAGAATAAAGGACATAATAATACATCGTGTAGCATAACATCAACGAATGTAGTCCTGTAAATAAATGAATAAACAAATTGTGTAATAAAATGCCTCTGGTGGAGACCTCTCGCTGTCAAGGCGAGCGTCATAACCATTAGACCACGGAGGCTTCGTGGTTGAACATATTCAAATACCACCAGATACACTCCATTACACAATAAGTACGGCTAGAAACAAATAGTTGCATATAATATAAATCAAGATAGCCGTTAACACTGTTAAATTATATACAAAGAAAGGTAAATACAGTGTTCTGTAAATAGTCCTGTAAATAATTATATATATATACTTATATATATATACTTATATATATATATATGTATATGTATATATATATGTATATATATGTATATATATATATATATATATATATATATCATCAAATATATACCCGTTTAGATTTCTGACACAGAGAAGTGTGTTGTGCCATTTTGTTACTTTTCTTTTCAGTTACGAAGCGCTGTAAGCAACTCTCCACAGTAAGTCAAAAACATTAAATATAAATTATATATAAAGAAAGGTACATACAGTGTTCGAATAAAGGACATAATAATACATCGTGTAGCATAGCTCTCAACGAATGTAGTCCTGTAAATAAATGAATAAAGAAATTGTGTAATAAAATGCCTCTGCCAGGACTCGAACCTGCGACCTCTCGCTACTAGTGCTGTCTCGTAAGAATTTTGTAGGACGCGTTAAGAATGACAAAATATTCTCTGTATCTACTGGAACCAAGCCGCATAGCTTGTATTCCACTATTTGCATTCACACCTGGGCTGTGTATATATGTTGCCTTGGTTTGGCTCTGTAATCATTAGTGGTCGTGGGACTAGTTTGGGCCCTACCTAAGCTGGTCGAACGTTTCGTTTGGGTCTGTACTCTAGCTGCACTGATGAGGCCTGGAAAACCGAAACGGATCCGTCTGCAGATATTGGGATTCCTTCCAGTGGATGCTTAGTTTATTTTGTCATTCTGATCGGATTTTCTCTACTGTTCCGTTTTAATTTTAATTTTAAATTGTTTTGCATTATATGGCCGTTTTCTGTTTTATGGGTTTCTCCCATTTGCCTTTCAAACTTGTATATATAGCATCAAATATATACCTGTTTGTATTTCTGGCACAGAGAAGTGTGTTGTGCCATTTTGTTACTTTTCTTTTCAGTTACGAAGCGCTGTAAGCAACTCTCCACAATAAGTCAAAAACATCCCCCGAGCAAAGTGTGCTAACATAAATAATGCAATAAAGCAGCAGTAAAATAAGAAGAAAAAAAAAACAATAAACAAATACGATCTAAGCAAGGTGAGAGAAACTATTGAAAAATGTGTGTTTTTAGATGGGCTTACAATCACAAGATCTGAGAGAATTAGGCAGACCATTCCAAAGTTGGGCAGCAATCGGTCGAACAAGTTGAATGAAGTTGGAAGATCTTGTTAAGCGCACATACATATAGTGTTAGGACAACTGGAAAGATTAAAAGAGCAGACGCCATAAAGTTATTTGAAAACAAAGAGAAGTTTGAAATTAATTATTTCCTGTACTCAGTCAACCAATAAAGATCACGAATAAGGGGAGATGTATTAGTACGTGACAAGAAAAAAATGAGTCTAGCAGCAGAATTTTGGAATTTCTGCAAGGTGTATAAATCTCTTTTTAACAGGTCAATGTACAGTGAATTGCAGTAGTCCAGTCTTGAATGAACCAGTGCCCTCACAGCAGAATGGCACGTCACCTATCTATGAACTTCCTGATTCTCCATAAGTTTCTTAGATGAAACTTAACAACCCTACTAACATTCCGTTAGAATGATCCCTACTTGCTTGTACCTCTTAAAATGCTACAAGTGAATACAGTATATACACATAAGAATCGAGTGGTGTGCTTAATATACATTTTACAAGGGTTTTGTATTTTGTTTTTATTAACAAAGCGTTAATTACAAGGTAAGAATTTGCGTATGTAAATCGGTTTGACGTAAACCTACAATTTTATCGTCCTTTTTACGCTGACGTAAATTTACCAGGTTTTCCTTGTATTAATACTCTGCCTACACTCACCTGAAATGCCCTCTTGGATCCGTCATTAGCCAGCCACTCTGGCGAGTCGACAAACTGACCTGGTCGAATATAATGTAAGAATACATCCCCGTGTGTCACGCGCATTCTGAAATCAAATTAAAGATGCTGTCAGTTTAATCTATTTAAAAACATTAAAAGAGATGTACGTTAGTCTCCATTAACAGAGATTTCATTTCAAAATCCAAGAGATAAACAATAATACTTTGAAGATATATACGGCAAGTATATAAACCTTAATTAGTGAAACAATTTGAGAGAATGGATAATGTGGTCTAAACAGTGGATACAACGACTATAAATACACCAATATACTGTGCTGGATACGTCATCAAGCAGATACCAGAAGATTGTGGAATTATATCACTAACACCGGTTGTTATATACAGTATCTCCTAAATTAATTTATTGTGAAATCTAGTTATGGTTAAATAGGCCGGTTAAGGTAAAAGAACTTAGCAATATCTACCTTAACGTACCTTAACAACGAAGACAAAATAGACACGCAACATTCCGAGTTAAAAAGGGAAATGAATGCTCCGTAATAATGAATAGCTTGTGTAAACAACCAAAATGGTCGAATAAAGTTTCACCAGGAACTATTGTTCTTGCGTTCCTTTTAACAATTTCCCTAAATATATATTTTGTCAAATATCAAAATGAAAAATGTAGCCTTGTCTAGCAACATATATATTTCTTAAAATTTAAAATAGTAAATCAAATCTTAAGACATAAAAGACACACTAATTTCAGCACACTAAGTGCTGTAAGTAAGAGGACCTACGTTTTTTGGGAGGCCTTAGCATGGTATTGAACAGTTCAGTTGAATCTGCTATAGTGTCTTAGAGACTTAATACCCATGTGAGAGAATTGTTGATAAATTTGTTACCAAACATGTGATGTAATTTTTGCAAAACCACTCTCCTGTAATGAGTAAAATCTATGCTGAGATTATTTGTGGAAATAAGTTGATTTAGAGTTGAAAATGTTTTTTTATTATATGATAAGCTCCCAGTAAGTTACTTTGAGACAGTCGTTCGACAGCAACTTCAATGGTGGTGTAAGAAACTGTTGGTGAAACAAAGATGGTGTATATTATTTCGTTAGAATTATTAGCAATATGTCAACTGTTGTGACAAAATGAGTCGTGTGGTACGAAAAATTAAAAATTAGTTATTAATATATTTCGATAGATGAATATATAAGATTTATTTTGGTGTTTAAATCATGTTCCTAGGTTGAGTAAAACCGGAATAAGGTCATTTTAAAGTTCAGATGTCTAAAAACATACTTCAGAGAAAATCGCCTGCAAAAATAAATAATAATAATAATAATAATAATAATAATAATAATAATAATAATAATAATAATAATATTATTATTATTATTATTATTATTACTATTATTATTATTATTATTAATAATAATATTATTATTATTATTATTATTATTATTATTATTATTATTATTATTATTATTAATAATATTACACAAACACGAGCCATTGCATACACTGGGCCTACGTTTTATAGTTCTTATCTGAGAGGACTTGTTCTACCACCAGAACCAAAGCCAGCGTGCCGTTTGAGCCAGCGTCGATATGGCTGTAGATTGGGGCGCCCCTACATTAACCGTTCGGCCAATATAATTGCCACTTTTTGTATGTGTTTGGAGACCAGTGTAGCCGTGTTACTGGTTAAGATATTTTGCAAGTATATTATGTAACATACTTGCAATTATTCTTCCATACAGTGAGCTCATAATTATTTTATGTCATATTTATAGAGCCTTGCTTTTCTGAGAGGTAAGCTTGATAGTGGAGACATATGACATTATGCTGTCAGAGGATTTGAACCGATGACGCTAAACCGAAAAGCAATCATCTTAAAAGTACAATTCTCTTGATCATATCTATTATACAACAATAATACAAATTTACAAATACGAATGGTGCCAAACAAGTGCTTGTTTCATGTATGCTTCATGTACCACAAAACCTCCACCAATCATTACTAAAGGATTCGGGAATCCATGTGAAACATAGGCCTGCTAAGCCTGGAATGGCATCAAAGGCATCTTTGGCATTAGTCGAACAAGCGTGTACTGAAACATTATTTACATAGTGAATTATGACATCATTAACTGTAACAGTTGCTATCGCGGTACCTCTCGTTACCTGACACAATACCTGTGCACAACCGAGCTCTATGAGGGCAGTACTCTTTTACTTCAACCTAGACAAACAATGAACAAATTGCAGAGATAATAAGAAACCTTTGAACTCAGAAAATGTACTTCGAATAATGTCATTATAGGTTTGTAATGTACATATAGGCTGTAGGCGTATATATTTTTACTTCCTTTTAAATTAAGAAATTAGTTGTAAGTGTTAAAGTAAGTAAGTGTACGTGCAAGTGTTTTACGGTGACAAAATAATGTATTTTGAGCAATGAACCATGTAGTAGATTAAATTAACTTAAAGACAATTATTATTATTATTATTATATATCAGCTGTAAACAATCAAAAGTTTTAAAAAATATCAATATCATTTGAATTTAATGTATTTAGAGCATTGTCAGCATATCAGCAATTTCTATCGTAAAAAAATTAATAAATTGGCCATTACATGCTTGCCAATAACTTTACCACATTATTAACCGAAACCGTTGATGGTCTTCAGCAGTGGTCCGGTACGATTTTCATTCCACCATTGGTGGTCTTTGTGTTTACCCACTTCCTAACTTCACTTCAATTAGCAAACTTATATTTATTTATTTTTTTTGGCTTACTATGATAGGCCTAGAGAAAGCCAATAACGTATTGAATAAATAAATTAACATTGCAGATTATGTTTTTGAAAAAAAAGGTTTCTAATGTGAGGGCATTATCGAGAACCTATTCACTATAATATGAACACAATAAATTACATACGTATTTCTTTCTTACGTGTACTATCAGATGGCCAACTTTAGCCATACCCTCGTTGCAGGTCCAACGGTAAAGGGATCAGCTTCTGAAGGTGGTATGTAGACGGGACAGGTGTTGATAACTTTATCACACCGCATTCGCATGTGGAACTATCTGCCAAGCCCAACCTCTTCATTTCTGACTTAAAGCGACCAACTCCTGTGCATAAGCGGTTCATTAAGGTAGATTGTTGACATGGTAGTCCTTCTCCAGTAACACCTCCTCCTGGTTCCCAGACGTACTGGTGGATGTGAGAAGGCCCAGCTCACTACCACGCCTGCTTCCAACATGATGGTAGCCATGCACTTTTAGATAGATCCTCAGGGTTGGACTGGAGCATCTTCTGTGCCGCCTTCCTATAGGATTGGCGGGATTTGAGTCTGCTTGGAGGCACCTTTGTTGTGCTAGTATTGTGTAGGATATGTCATCCATATATCCAGGCTTTCCTTGCCAGAGCCAGGGTTGCCGCTTTTTGTCGAAGGCTGGCCGGTGAAATACCTGCAAGGACTGGAAGCTGAACAATGGAGTGATTTCAAGCATCCGGTTATTACTCTATGTGCGTTGTTGATTGCAACATCCACCTTTTTCACATGCAGGCATCTGCTCCAGACCGGGGCACAGTATTCGGTGCAGAGAAGACCAGGGCTTGTGTAGATATCCGAAGAGTCTTGGCGGAAGTTCCCAGTGTTGTAACAGCTAGACGACGGTTAAGTATAACCCGTTATAACACTTTTGCCTTAACATCTTCTATGTGTTGTTTAAAAGATAGTATTCAATCTAGGCGTACTCCAAGATATTTCGGTGCCTCTTAATAATAGATGGATTTATATAGCGCAAATAGATGAGGTCTCTATGCACTCGACAATATTGTAGACAAGAAAACAAAACAAAAAAAAGCCAGAAAAAAAAACAATAAACACCAACCTAGCACCAAAACCGAAGTATGGGGATACATCATCACCGCCAACAGGAGATCTGTGTTTATGTACTCCGGTTAGCATCGGTTAAGTCCAGTGGCGGACTGTCAAGGCAAGCAAGATATGCAGGTATGCATACCCTGGCTAAAACAAAGAATATATAGTAGTACAGCTTCTGCGTTTGATTTAGCATTTCTTAGCAATCTAAGCACAATCTTTTATATAAACCTTAAACTTTCGAGTGGATTGCTGTAGTATATTGGAAAAGCAAAGTTTTTTAATGTTTGGCCAACTTTGGTATCTAGGATAAGTTACATTCGGGCCTATCGCATCGTACTCGTTAAGTTGCTTAGAATTTCCGCATGGCTAGTTTTCAATATCAACCAGTCACGTAAAGTATTAAGTGAGTCAATGGAAGTCAGAACATGGTCAGAGCATACCCTACAACACTTAAAATTGCTATTGTGAGCCAATTTAACACTGGAGTGGAAGCAGTGCTTCCAAGAGTATGTGCGCATGCTCTTCTCGCAAATCAGGACCTTCACTGCCGATCGCATATTCTATCTATATGCCTAATCTCAATGATTAAAGTTTAAATACATTTGCATGCATATAACCGGTATAGAATAAACTTTGAATTGTTATTATTTGAATTGAAATATGTTAAAATAGAGGAATAGGAATTAGTTTGAAAAGAAAATACTACAACTATGCCTGTATTAAAAATAACATACATTTGTATTTTGGTTATAGCGCAATCTGATCCTGTATAATTCAATTCAATTCAACTTTTATTCAGTCCTATAACTCCCGTTAAACTTTCTATTCCTGGGACTAAAGCACATGCACATAGATTTTTTCGAGTTATATAAAATATCAAATTTATTAGCATATTCTTCACAAAGATTAACGAGCTTTTGAAGGGCATCGAGCGAGGGTGCAAGTAGCACCATATCATCAGCGTAACTTAAATTATTAAGTTTGATTTTGTTAAGCTCACATCCATAATTATAATTACTTAGTATGGTATTCAGACTATCAATAGACATAACTCCACCTTGTCGCACACCATTCGTTATATTAAAACATCTTGACGTTTCTATTATAGTACTCCACAGTCTACTTCACGTTTCAGTGCAGTGTTTTTACTTTTGAAGGCGAACTGATGATCTCCAGACTCCACATATTACTCCACGTTTCAG